CCTCTCAAATCATGGTAACCTTCAATTGATTTGGGTAAAATGCGTACCCTGAAGACTGTCATACGAACGTTTGCTCGTCAGATCACCGCGATTCTGTGGTTAGTTAATTTCCTCTGACTGTAGTATCTTGGCCTTTCCGGGATATGGCCTCGTTGTTTCACCCGGATCCTCCCATCCCCCAACCCTGGCCTATCCTGTGGTTGTTCAACTTCAGTCATGTTTGTCATGACGGAATCTTCATCCGCATAATCTCTTCCCCATTCACACAGATACGAATAGAACCACGTGATATCCACATCCTTGTACACTGTCATTTCTTTTAATGCGCGAACATGTTGGGACCCTCATAAGTTTTACCTAAGGTCTGCCCTGGAATGTGAACGTGTATTCGTTACCGTAATCTGCACGCATGTTTCTGCGCGTTTGTGTGAGGCAGGAAGTGGGCTGGGCGAATGTATTTGCTGACAACATTTTTCCGGGTGATTGAATGCTCCTATGAATAAGAATTTCATCTCTAGCCCCGGTTGGAGACTGGGCCCTATCGGAAACGGACTTGCATCGATCCGCACACATTCAAGCAATCACTTCGGTCCTATCTATCCGCGTGTGCTTAAGGGCCTGGATACCCATAATGAGTGGGGACGCTGGACGAGATGTTGGTTCTGTTCGAGTCAGTTGTCCTACCTACACAAACACACCGATTACCGACAACCCTTCCACTTCCGCAATGAAAAACTGGTCGTGACAGTATTACATCATCGATTCTCGCTGCTGTTCACGATACACGTACTGCCTGGCGTGAAATTCGGTCATTTTCCAGCTCTGTTGATCTGTCATTTGGCTTTCATATAGTCATTCTAATCGTTCTATTTAACTCCGTGAAACATGAAAACTTCTATAGAAAACTAGCTGAATCCGCTAGTGCGGTCGATAATGTCGGTTTACTGAAAGATCACGGAGAATCATTCATTGATTAACACACACACACGAGCGATACCACGCTTCTAGAAGAAGACCCGGTGATTTATCGATGTTTAAACGAAAAGGCATTACACTGGTATCGCATAATCGGAATTTGTGATTTACCAATGTATCAGTATCTCTAAGGCCCAAATCAAAATACCAGTGGTATTATCACTGCTGGTTTCATACTATAAACCAAACTAAAAAGTAGTTCCATTATTTCCCAATGTTTATCGCATTTGCAGTAGTTACAAAACAGAGATATGGAATTGAACCTTTTAGAACCTGACTATTTGGGGGGTATAGGATGTAATGCATTATCTCGGGGTCGTAATAGAATCAAACTCCAGCGCGCACACATGTGGAGCAGACTGAGTGCGAGGGAGGGAGAGTTGGTTCTACTTCCTCACACTGTCGGACTGTTGTGACGTGATGCGTCTTTCTCTGTCACAATTTGCCATATAAGGTGCAGTTTGTGTGGAATGAATCACGCCACACCCTAATAGTAGCAATTGAACGTTTGCAATTCAATCGCATAATCATTTCGTACTCATACGACTCGGCTTCTCGGTCCAATCGCCTTAAATCTATCGATCTTGCACGTGCATAGCTTACTTACTTTACTTTACTGCGGCTGGCTCCTTGGAAAGGATAAGCCGGCTCCAAACATGATCATGATCATGAAGTTCCTTGAGAGTTTGATACGAGAGATGTCCCCAGCGTCACTCGGCGTTTTTTTATTTTGGGGGCTCACCTCTAGTAGTAGTGGTAGTGTCGCCGCTGTTTGATCGCAACTACTCATTTGTTGCGATATGCCACAATTTATTCACAGCTAACCTTGTTCGGTAAAGGTATCATCCTATCCACAACTCGGGGATGCGCCTGATAGCATTTAGCACTGCTTAACCCGAGGGTGAAAAACTGCTCGGGATTAATACCCAGACCTACAAAACGAAGGCCTGATCTGATCAGGTGCTTTCAATTGGAATTAACCGGTTGCATACTGTGTCTCCTTCCGAATTTTTCTGGGCACCAACTGACTGAATAACTCTAAGCCAATCACGTTACTCACGTTTGGGTAGCTTAACTCGTAGGACGTGAAATTCCGTGATTGACATGGAACTATTCGTGCCAATTGTA